AGCAATCGAATTCTAAGCCCAAAGTCATTACGACAGGCTAGCTTCTTACTATGGCCATAGTACATAGTCTATAATGTAAAACGTATAGGACCATGATCCTATTTGTTTCTAAAATTTGTGAACTCATTTATTGATTTAGTATTTGATTCGTTTTAAGCTATTTATTGCAATTATTGTTTATGTTGTTTTTTATGTTGTTCTTTATTGTACTGTAATGTTTATTAATATTGATTATTGTATTATTGATGCTTTAGTTGTAAGTATGGCTTCCTGTCCAGGGATTGTACTGCTCAGAATGTGCAGTCATTGGAAAGGGGACAGTGTTACGAATTTTGCATTTAGATATCTAATTTTAGTAGAATTATAATTAAAATTGTTTTATTTCCCTGTGCAATACAGCGAGAGAGAAATTTTAAAAGAAAGCTAAAAGGAAAGTAAAAATACGGCAGCACGTGCATTTAACATTTAACCCTTTCAGGGGCGGTGGTTTCGCTTTGAAACCGCATTTTCAACATTTTTTTTTAATTTAGAAAATTTGGTTTTTTCCCCCTCGAAACCGCTGTTAAAATTAAATTACTTCTTAAAGCTGATAACAGATGGCAGCAGCAAACCTTTCTGGGCATCCATTAATTGATACGAATCATTCAAAAATATCTTCTTTTGCACACTACTCTTTTGACCATTTAAAAAACAAAAAACCCAAAATTTTTATTTTTCCAAAATATTTTAAGCAGACATCAATTAAGAAATGTCCTTAGTTCAAAAAAAAAAGTATGGAACCCTTTAATTTTGAATGTTTTCATTGTTTCGTATGAAACCACCGCCCCTCGGACATCGAAGAAAGTATCAGATGACAGTCGCGAGATTTTTTGCAGTGGTTTATTGCTTTCGGATCACTGCTGTAAACAGTTGCACAATATTTTAATTTGAGTGGCTTCAAAGATGAGATTTATGAGCTTTTGAGAGAGGGAAACATTTCTTATTTTTACAGAGACCAGAGCACACCGAAAAACTCTCACAGTTGCGTTTTTATTATGCTTCTCTTAGCGGTCGCTTTTCTCATGCTTCTAGTTCAGTAAAATAATTGTATGCATCTTAATTTATTTTTTTTACATATAATTTTCAGTTTAAACATCATTTTAAAAATATTTCATAGTTTTATGCAAGTAATTTAGTTATTTTAGTTACTTTTGTCTCATACTTTTTTGTTTCCTGTTTTAAATTTTTTTATATTAAAAATGCGTGTTTATGCAATATTACTACTTCGTTAGTTGTTCAGTAATTTACTATAGTTTATTAAATTGCAGATTGTACTATATAATAGTATAATCTGCAATTTGGGTTACGTTCAGATACTTTTCAGCAAAGTAAAGATAAATAAGCAAATGTCTAGTCTTAAATGCTCTAGACGGGCGCTGGTTTCAAGGCGAAACCGGTCCCCTTTCCACAATAAAAATTTTTTTAAAAAACTCATTTATGTTGTCTATAGGTCCATTGCATGTCATTATGCTTACTTTTTCATAACTTTTAAAAACTCATAACATTGCGCCCCTGTAAATGAACATCTCGTAATTTGTACTGAAATTTAATAAATTTAACAGATTGCTGCGTTAGCTATAACCTTAATTACACCCTCTTATTACTTTGCCGAACTCTCAAGAAGTAGAAGTTACTAGAAATTTCTCGCGACCGATTGTAAGCTGTAAAAGGCTAAAGAGAGAATATCTCAGCTCAGTTGTTTACTCAGCTGCTGTTGTTATTGTTGATCCAATTAGCTTTCTCTTTAAATGTCCAGTGCATTGCGTTCTATGTAACGTTTTTAGTAGTTTAAAGTATAACTACTGATTATTACTGCGGGATATTGTGAGCACTTGTGCGAATATCTCTGAGGAAAATCCCAGCGTTCTGTTATAAGTATAATCTGCAATTTGGGTTACGTTCAGATACTTTTCAGCAAAGTAAAGATAAATAAGCAAATGTCTAGTCTTAAATGCTCTAGACGGGCGCTGGTTTCAAGGCGAAACCGGTCCCCTTTCCACAATAAAAATTTTTTTAAAAAACTCATTTATGTTGTATGGTCCATTCAGTCATTATGCTTACTTTTTCATAACTTTTAAAAACTCATAACATTGCGCCCCTGTAAATGAACATCTCGTAATTTGTACTGAAATTTAATAAATTTAACTGATTGCTGCGTTAGCTATAACCTTAATTACACCCTCTTATTACTTTGCCGAACTCTCAAGAAGTAGAAGTTACTAGAAATTTCTCGCGACCGATTGTAAGCTGTAAAAGGCTAAAGAGAGAATATCTCAGCTCAGTTGTTTACTCAGCTGCTGTTGTTATTGTTGATCCAATTAGCTTTCTCTTTAAATGTCCAGTGCATTGCGTTCTATGTAACGTTTTTAGTAGTTTAAAGTATAACTACTGATTATTACTGCGGGATATTGTGAGCACTTGTGCGAATATCTCTGAGGAAAATCCCAGCGTTCTGTTATATTTCTTTTGATAAGAATAAATTTTATTAACCTCTTATTGGATTTGTGCATTCAATCTATTGCGGACGCAACATGATCATTGATAAAACATTCCTTTATTTAATTAAATACAAAGTGTCTAACATTTTGAATACAAAATTCGGGAAGTTTGAAGATTTTTCTTCATTTTAGTAGATAATGAGCCCGTTTTAGATCCATTGGGATTGAAGCATAATTTAGAATTTTTTGGCTATGAAGGTTCTTAACTTTTTAACCAATGTCTGCAGATTAGCATGTATGAAACTTTTTATCCGCGGGGGCTTCAACACATGCTTTTCTCAAAATTCCAAAGAAGTGGCTGAAGCTTTCCTCCTTTCATAATGGATTTTTCATTAGGGAAATCTTTTAAAACAGAATTATTTGATTTAAGACTGACTTGCTTCCAATTACTTACTTCGGTTTTAAATGTTTCTTTTACACGTATGCAAATTTATGATGTTCTAAATCAGTTCAAATTCTGAATAACTTTACAAACCCTTTACTGATCTTGGTGTCGGAAAAGTATTTAGATGTAAATTTTTTTTAAATATCCTCATTTGCTCTTCAAAATGTTATGTTGACCATTCTTTTTGTTTCAAGAAAATTCCTGTAATTTATATTGATCATTTTCTTTGCTTCAAGAAAATTCCTTTGTCGAAAGATTTTCATTAGCTTTCTCACATTCTAATTAGGAAAAGAGTTTGTGGTTGCGCCTCACAGTTGTAAGCTACAATTATGTAATTTTTACATTCATGTATTATGAACTCTTATTAATTATGTATTATTATTCACTTCTCACTTGAAATAAGTATCTTATTCGACGAACACTTGACAAGACTGGGATTAGACAGAAACATACATGAAAAATTTCTAATACAAATGTATATAAAATGTTTTTTAAGAAACAGCATTTATGAAAAGCTTCAAAAAAGAATTCAACTTTTTCAAGAAGCTTCTAGACAATAATATTGTTTGGGATCATGTACGAAAAACTTTCAAATAATCTCTTCGGTTATTCACTTTTGAAAAGCTTATAAAGCTATTAAAAATCTTGCCTGAACAATAATCATTCGATATTATTTAGAGCATCTTGCTGGGACTCTTTAGTTTTCATGCAAATATGCAGTGCTTAGGCAAAATAATTGATTTTCGTCTATCGCATTTAATTTTTGTCTGACTTGGATGGTGAATGTCTGTGTATTTCTATTTTAAGTTAAGCGTGCTGGTAATTTTAGTACAATTGAACATTATCGAAACTACCATTCTGTTAAAATAACTCTAGACTGTTATGAAAGCCACATCAATGATGAAAGTATTAATTTAATATCCGCTATGCCGACCATTCGTTATAACGTATCCAGAAATACAGAAAAAGTGTTATGCGGAAGTTTAAGCATATATTTACAGGGATGTTAATTACTTTATAAATTATATCGAACAAGATTTTATTATAGATATTAATAACCCTTATGCTAAGCTAACATACTCTTTTTATTTACTAGAAAATTTAACAGGTGGCAAAAATACATACTTCACGAATCTAGGAAGTTCTAGCAGAGAACATTCAGGAGTTCTGGTTCATTTGCCCCACGCTTGCCTCGAGAAAATTAGAACTTTTTACAAAGAAAGCTTGAGTACCAGTTTATCACCAATTATGACTACTAACCCTTATCACTAATGATTTGAAAGCGCTCATTACAACGTATCCTTTTTCTGTGTTATGCGAAAGTTTAAACATATATTTACATCGACTGTTAACTACTTTATAAAGGGCAGGGTATCGAAACAAACAAAAGTAGCTTCTTTCATTTTGTATTCAAATTTTCTTTCATTTGAAGTTTTGATGCGCATAACATAGCTTTACAACTTGTTTCCTTATTTTCTAAGGATCCCTTGGTGTATTATGTTTACATTTTATAAAAATGATATGAAATGGATATTTTAGTTAAATTTTAGAAACACGATTACTACTTAATTGAAGGCTGACCCTTATAATAACTTTATTTTATCACAGCAATCAAAAACGATAAACCGGTTCCAAAGTTTACATGCTTTTGGTCTTTGAATCTGTGAGGAATATGGATACTGCAATCTAAGGGTATGAGAAAGTTATGAAAGTTCCTTCATTTGTATGATATGACTTGACAGAATCAACACTAATAAAGCTGATGGATTTGAAATGGACTTGAAAATATAGAAAAATGATGGAGGTAAATTCTACAATTTAAGTCATATTCTTTTGTGTTACATAATTTTAATGATTCCTATGCCAATAAAGGTAAATATAAGTTTTAAGAATAAATTTTGGATTTCATTTTTAAAGTTATCATTGCGAATCAAATTTAGCTTGCAATTTCAATACCCTCATCTTTCTTTTAAAAAAAAATGGGTTTGCCTTGGCAGTTTTAGCACCGTATTCAAAGTACCGTAAGTAGAAATGATTGGAAATAACTGACGATCCGATTCAATGAACTTTGTGGCCTTCACCTTTACGAAGTAGATTCGCCTTTTGTAATCCAATATTTTTCAAATACGTTTGGCAACAATGTAACCGGCGTCCGAGGATAATTGTTTGATTCGGTGCTGTCTGCATTTGTTTCGAGATCTTAAAGTCTGTCGTATTGAACTCGGTGTAAAGGTTGAAAAGAGGCAAGTTCAAACAGAATCAGACATGAAAAGGCATAGCATTACTGCTAGGTATGAATATTCGTTTGTATTGAAGTTGTTGTATTGTGAGATGTCCGCGTAAATGGTTATCAGGATGGATATTTGGTTCTGCGGAGCCGTAACAAGTATATGATTTCTTTTAAAAAGAACATTATAAATGTATGTTTCTGCAAGAAATTAATAGATTATATTTCAGCCAAACGGTCTAAAGTTTGTATCAAATTAATATACTTATTTTGCAATTTTTTTTTTTTTTTTTTGAGAAATAAGTGTTGCAGGCAATTAAAAAGTAGTGTAAAACATGTTATTGTTATGGTTTTTCCGACTTTCATAATATATTTATTCCAAATTGACCTATAATGGTGGAATTCTTATTTAAAAATTGTATGTGCTCTGGGATTTTCTTCGCTTCACAAACTATGAAGACATTTAAAGTATATGATGTGTATCATGTTATATTGGTATTGCCATTTACATTTGATTATAACTTTGAAAGAACTTAAAATGTTTCCAATTTTTTCCCTAATTTTTATGCAAATTTGTTAATCATTATTATGCTTTATTGGTTACACTGAGTTTTAAAAGTGAATATGTATCCTTTTTTCTCCTTCTGCTTTCATTCTGTTTGATTGTTATTAAGACACTGGATGTGAAGCTCAGATGTATTTGTAATAGTAAGTACAGACTGTTAATTTTAATTACTTTATGATAAATGCTTCATTGCACTCCTATTTTTTTATGTTAGGCATAAAAGATTATCGCTTTCTCTCATTGCTTTTTTTTTTTTTTAATTTTTAAAGTACAGTTTGAGAGATATGTATTTCATTTTTCATTTGATGAAATATTTCTTTTAACATAGTACTTTCGTTTTAGTGACTGAAGTATAGATTTCAAGCTTGAAATCGTATACACTATCTATATATATTTTCAAAATCGCTTTTATAAAAATTCGTTGCTTTGCTTGATAAATGGAAGTTATATAGTGTTGCATCCAGTAACATGCATTCTGTATTTGTGAACAATATATATCAAATTAATATTCACTCAAAGAAACCTTTTTGTTTAGGTCACGAAATGAAGATAATGTATTAAGGAAGATTTTTTTCAGAGTGATGATATGCACTCTGACAAATACCTTCCAGACATATTTTAACTGGATGTTAGTCTGAAGTTATTCTTCTAGTTAGCAGTTGTATCCATTTTTTATGTTTTCGGTTGTTACATTTTTAACAGCAATATTTATCACATTAACTTTCTGTTTCTAAGTAGCTATCATTATAAGGTACTGTATTGTTAGTATCACAAAAATTGTGGTTCTTTTTTATCTTTCTCCAAAATGAACTTACCAGCTGGATTTTCCGATAGTCATTTTATTATAAATGTTAAGGAAACGTATAAAACTAAAGCTGAACTGGATCAGAGTCTCCGTGTTTAAAAATTTAAAGGTAATAATTAAATAAAAATAACAAAACTTATTTGCAAGCTGGAAATTGTAGCATTACTAACACAAGATTCATGGAACTTTTTAAGGCCCTCCAAGAACCTAAGAAAATATTTGGCAACAAAGATTTTTCTAAAATTACCTATTTGATAATTAGGTACGTTGATAACTGTAGATAAACAGAGATGCAGATGGAAAAGTTAATATCTTTTATTCCTAATATTCAAGGAATTTAATAACTATACTGACAATTGGAATTTATTATTTTATATTCTTCCAGTGAGTTGCTTTAACATTTTATATAAGTTTGCATTGATTGTAACCATTTATTTTACCTTCAATTCTCCATTCGTAACTGTTTCAGAAAATTACTCTAAATTTGTATGGTCTGAAACGAGCCTTCTATGGCCTGTGAACTCTCACTTGAAGATCACTCTTCACATAGTCCCCTAGTTCTCTCATCATCCAATCAGATATTCTCTTAACTAAATGACTCCTTCATTTCATGTGTGCACTTAGCTGAGAGATTCCTGCCTTATCACCAACGTAGCATTCAGCTCCTACCAGAATATCCTTATCTGACCTGAAATGGCTCTCTATTTTCATAGTTACTGACTTTACTCAAAATTATGAGCTCTTGTGCTATCGTATTTTGGAAGTCGTTGCTTTCAAATCATCATAATGCTATGATCATCATATGCACATGAATTCAGCCGTATAAGAATATAAACTAAATGTAAGTTGCGTTGTCTCATGAATCTTTTATTCTGCAATATGGCTTATCCTCACAGCCACTCAATTTTTTGTGTATGTACTCCGGTGTCCAGATCCACAAAGTTATACCTATGATTAACTTTGAAAGTTCGATATCAGCAGCTCTTATTTTGTCACTTTTATAAGCTTTCTGTGAGCTCGAGTATATTTTAGAACTTTCTTCAATGTTATCTTTTATCACTTGCAAAAGCGTTACTGCCATCCTCTCTCAAACTTTTATCATAAAACACTCACTTGTTTCCTTGCAAATGCTTCAAAACAAGTACTGCTTGGGGGTTATTCTCCTGCATGGTTTTTATATTTTGAGAAAAGGCTCTTGTCAGTTTTGACAATGAGGTTCATCCATCACGCACGTATGTGCAAAATTTATGACAAATTCAGTTTTTAATGCACATTTTTCACATATCGAAGCTGAGACATCTGAAGGTCATTTCTATTCCTCCTTTCTACCCTTCCTCACATCATGGAATATGCCAACAGGAAGTCATTTCCGTTTTTTTTTTTTTTTTTTTTTTTACTGTGCTTTTGTGCTACATGGCAGCTTTTTTGTAAAATTTACGATACGCGTGTGGTCGTAGATGAAAATTTGGAAAATATGTTTTTCCTCAAATATTTTGTAATTTTGTGTTATTAATTGCTGTGTATTATTTTAATTTGAATATATTTGGCTCTGTAAATTTTATATGAATTTTCATGGCAAAAAAAATATGTGCAACCAGCTGATTATGCTCACATTATTCAAGATTTATCTGATGAAGAAAAGGAAGAAAAGGAAACCTTTGGATGGGAGAACAATAGCGATTTCCATTCCTTATTTTCTTTTATTTCTATTTTTTGGAAATAAATAAAAATATTAAAGTTAGTTTAAAGTGCGTATTTGTAACCAGTAAGAAGTAAATTTCCTTTCAGAAGTAAGTAATGCTAAACTTACTTTTTTCCTACCAAGGTGTTTTCCTTTTTTATTTGTCTATACTGCCTTTGATGAATATTAAAATTGGCTTCGATTTTAAAAATAAATTAATAATAAATTTGAAATTTTCTATAATGAAATACATCATTGCATTTCCATCTCACTAACATAAGAACTTAAAAATTATTTACTTATATTTGAATATGATATCATTTGTATTTTGCAATAATAAGATTAATACTTTATTTCTTAACAAATTTATTATCAATATTCACTCATTCCTGTTATTTTTCGTGCCAATAACGGATGTCGTAAAAAATACAATGCACGCGTGCTCATGTAAAATTGCCAAGCGCATGTTCTGGAAGGTTAAATAACTATTCCAACTGATAATAGCCGATGACCCAGATAGATACGTTACTCAAGTGAGCGATTATGAGACTGACATGCTGCCTACTGCGCTACCTAGGCTTGTTGTTTTGGGGTATCCATGACTGAGCATTATTTCACTGAAAAAAATAGCCTAGATATATTGTATAAGAATGGTAACACAACAGGCCACTGAGTAGGCTTTATTTTCTTCATACTTATTGTAAAATTGCTGGGGAAAGTTAGGGCATTTGGCTATTTTAAATAGCTGATTGTAATAAAAGTTTTCCGCCAACAAACTTTTTTTTAATAAAGTTAAAAGGAAAAAAAAAAAAGGCATGAAAGCAGTACTTTTAGTGTGGGTAGTAATCGGCATCCAAATATAGGATTTTCTGCCAACAATTTGGTAGTTTTTCAAAGCCTTCGGCCGAATAACTTGGCAGCCACAAGTCCAAACACAGGTCAACCTCATTTCAGATGTCCTGTGCAAAATGGAAAATAGCACCAGCAAGATGTAGCTACAAGTGTCAAAAAAGGTAGAAGTCCGAAGGAGCGATGTCGTAGCTATATGATAGGTGTGACAAAAGATCCCATTTGAGTCTGTACAGAATCCAGTCAGTGAATGCAGACACATATGCTCTTGCATTATCTTGATGGAACATTAGCTTTTTTGCACCGGATTTCAGTTTGACATTTTTCTTTGATAGCAGCGTCAGCACGGACTAGTATCTCGTATTACACTTTACTGTCGAGGGTTGTACCTTTTTCCAGATAATCTTTTTGGATAATACCACAGCAATCCCACCAGACACAAAGCCTGATCATTTTGTTGGTCAAATTGCGCTTTGCGACGTTGTCAACGGCCTCACCGGGTGCAGACCAACCTCCCTTTTTGGCCTGTGTTGTTGAAGTAAATCCACTTTTCATTACGAGTGATGATCTGGTCTAGAATTTTCTCCTTATCTGCTTAAGTCAGCTCATGCAGTACACAGCGATTGAACTTGTACGTCAAGATTATGTGAGGCATAGCATGACTGATGGAATGGCAAAATATCTAACTCCGTAGCAAGCTCTCGAGTGATTGCATTCTGATCTTCTTCCTTAAGTTCTGGCAGGTGGGTCTCGTCAACATCAATAGACTGCCAGAGCACTCTGCTGCTTAAATGTTATAGTCCTTGTTTTTAAACTTTCAGTACTAAACCTTCACAGTGTTATATGATATACCATTAGTACCTAGAGCTGTACACCTAGTTTAGTGACATTCTGTAGCTGACTTTTTGCTACAGAACTGGAACTAAATAAGGGTTCTAATCTTGTAGCTTGATAGTTCCATTTCAGACACCTTGTGCTTAATAAACTAATAATAATGACAGTTTTTTACAAATTTCATAGCAGAATTCTAAAGAAAGTGTTTTTCTTTCAAATGCCAAAAATTGTTTGACAAAATGATTAAACATGCGAACGCAAACTGTTTGCACATACTGTATTTGTGGTAGTGGGAAACTTTTGTTAAAACCCAATATCTTCCCAGCTAGTGATACCATATGAAGAAGCTATTTGGCATTTTGCAGTAAAAGTAGAATTTGTTTTCCTATTGGTGTGCCTCAAGTTATGAACATTCTATTATTGCCACCTAAGGCTAAAGATCACTGAACTGTATTGCATACTGCTATTAAGGGTAACTTAAATTTCTTGAGTACTGTCCTATACTCATTTCTCTACCTAACTCTATTACATACTTTCCTATATTCATTGGATTAAATACAGTTGCATTAGTTCTGGTACAGTACAAAGTACAAGATCCGGACTCGTCGGGACTTTCGTGATTCCGGATTTGGGATTTTTCCGGATATTAGATCATCAGTTTAAATCTAGTAAGACAGCATGTAGAAATTATAAAATTAAAAATATGAAATTTCAATTTATGAAAGAATGAAACATTTATGATCTAAAGGGTACCAAAATTTAGGGGGAATAAAACAACTTACTATTTATTTGTTTACATTATTAAACATTTCCTTCAGTGTAAGTTATTTAAATTGCTTTGTTTTTGTGGTAATACTTTCACTTTATTTCTTGGTTAATTACACTGTTGAAGTCCTGTAATTGCTGTGTCGAGAATCCCGACTAATTTGTCAATCGAAATTTTTTCATTTTCAGCAACTTCTCTGTACCTTTCTTCACTATCGGTAGCGGTATTTTCTGGATTTAGAACCATACTACAGATTTGGCCATCCATTAATTTATTTATGATTGAAAAGCATTGTCATCACAATGAAAAGCTTATTTTATATCATCTTCATTTATTACTACTTCTCCACATTTCTTTACAGAATCAGTTAATTGGCATATTTCACCTTTGGTTTGCGATATCTGAAAACCTTTAAAATTTGCGCCTATCATCATAAAATTTAGCTGTTGTTCACTATACATATTTGCCTATGTATTGTGAGATTGGCCACAAGTTCTTTCCCTAAATTTTATCTCACTTCTATCGCGTACTGAGACAGTTAAGCTTGAAATGTATCGCTTTAGTTATTTATTATACTTATGTCTATTTCTTGCACATGTTTATATGAATCCTGAATAAATAAAGGCTTGTCCTGAATACTTTAATTCCCACATATACTTAAGGTTTATTAAGGCTAGATATCTTTCCTATATTCATTGGATTAGATACTGTTGCATTAGTTCTGGTACCTGATGCAGTCTCTGTGGGTCCTAAATTCTGCTACCGAGCACCTGACTTTGTCTTCCCTAAATTCTGCTGCCCGGTGCGTCCATATGAGCCATGGTACTTGTTCTGGGTTTATATGTGAATAACAAATTGGTTACTCTTAATTCAAATAGCAATAAATTTAATCTTTTGGCCTATGAGTATAATTAACAAAATCTATTTTTAGCATATGGAAAGATATTTTTGTTACATTTTTCCTCATCAACATTTCTTAGCTTGTTGAACTTAAATCTGTAATCATCGTCAAGCATCAATACAATTCAACATAAAAGGTTACCATGCTCTTTTATTCAATTACTACCATAAAAAAATTGTTTAGTCATCGCTACATGAGACATTACTCAAGTTGTCATGTGTTGATAAACATGCAATGATGAAAGCAAAATATAATGAATAAAGATTCACCAGGTTGGCATCAGGGGTATAAAATATTAGTAGGTGTAAAATCAATGATGCCAAGCAGATACGCATCTATGGATCCAAATTATTGATCATAGAAATTTATGTTGAAATGATTGCTTCTTCAATAATGAGGTAGTGCCGAAGTGAAATTGAGAATCAGACTCTCCATATGTTTTATTATGCGCAGAGGAGGGGAATCAAATCGTGGCATTTGAGAACGCATGCGTAAAGCATACAAAAGAAATTTTAAGAAAAGTTGTTGGTGACCTTGGGGTCCGGGTTTTAGATCATTCCGAATATTGGACGTCTGGATCAGACTTTATACTGTAATAGTCACTGGTCTATTATAAGTAATAAAGTGGTTTTTGGATATACAGATCCATTTCTCAAGGTTATTTAGAAACTGTCATCTTTCTTCCTTTGCTGTTTATTTTCTATATGTTATTGAATTACATTTTGTGTCGTTATCATGCCAGCAATATTAAATCTGAATTAACTGGTGTCTTTCTCTCTACCAAAGAAGTAGGTCTTTCAGATGCCCATATTTTGTGTAAATCTTGTATCAAAGCTTCTTTACAGTTAGTTGGTATTCACCCAACTGCAGTTTGCCATAGTAATTCCTGTTTTGAATTTTGCCCATGATATGCCTTCTTTGATGCATTTTGGTGGACTGCTATTAATTTGAATAATATCCCACCAAAGTCATTGATATCTGAAATGCATGTTTTCTCTAATTATAGTGAAACGATACTGGTTTAAAAATTTGTTTATTTCTAGGAGACCAATTGATGAGAATGAGCAAAATCAGCTCAGTGAGAAAAAACGGTTGAAGGTTGCGCATGAAGGGGAAGATGAACAATTACTTATTGAAAATCAATTAGATGCAGGTAAAATTGCCAAAATCTTTAGTTTTTCTTAATTGACAATATTGCTGTATTAATTTTTGCAATAAGTAATCTATTTAATGCATTATATTTATGTTTTTATTATTTATGAATGCTTTGCTTTTGCTATTAATTCTCTTATTTAAATTTATCCATTAATGAACTGCTATTACAGTCAAAAGTCGTTAATTCGGACACCCATAATCCGGACCTCAAAGCTACAAACTTTCTGCGCATGCATCGAGTTGACGCATGCGCGTAACAGACCTTTACGGCTGCGAATATGCTTGTGGCACGTGTGCAAAATATGTTTACGATGCATGTTTAATGTACAATGGACAGTATAAGCTAAGCTAAAAATTATCTATTTCAGTTAATGTTGCAGATTGCGTTGTTCCTTAATCTTCAATTGGATCCGGCTTATTATTTTTTGCAGACTATTAGAGCAATTTTATAAAAGTAAGCTTGAACTTTCGATTATGTGAAATAGAATTTCCGAATATATATTATTAATATGTAAAGGATCTACAAAGCGAAAGTATGTTTCGAAGTCCATTAAACAAAAAGTGGAATTGCTGCAAAAAATGGATAAAGGCATATCCTTTATTATCTAAACATTCCAACGTTGTTTATCTAATTTCACGCTGCTCTGTGGCCGGGGGGGGGGGGAATGCCAGGGTGTGCAATGAATTGGAAGTTGATCTGTCAGCACTATCCTTATCTTCAGGGCAGATGTTTTTATTTTATTTGGCTTATAATTCCTTATTAAATGTAGTATTTCATCTCGATGTACTCCGTCTTTCATATGATTTAAATCAAATTCCTCGTTATTATAATTCGCTTCCGATAGTGAAGAAAGTGACACAGAGGTTATTGAAAACGGAAAAATTTCGATTCATAAATTAGTCAGTATTCTCAACACAGCAATTACAGGACTTGAACAATGGAACTTTATAACTAAACAAGAAATTATGTCTGTTTATAAAGAATTAAAGAGAAAGTATTATCACATAAAACGAAGCAACTTAAACAACTTACATTGAAAGAAATGTTTAATAAAGTAAACAAATAAATATTAAGCTTTTTCTTTTTGTAAATTTTGATACCCTTTAGATTAGATCATAATTGTTCTTTATTTCATAAATTATGGTTTCATATTTTTAATTTTATAATTTCTGCATGCTATCTTACCAGATTTTAAACTGATGATCTATAATCCGGAATCGCTGAAGTCCCGACGAGTCCGGATTAACGACTTTTGACTGTATACGGCAATTAAACATTTTATGGTCAATAAACGGTAAGTTATTTTTCTGTGTTCTGTTAATGGGCCAATGCCAAGGCTTGCCTTTTCGAATGTGATCTAATACAGTCAAAAGTCGTTAATCCGGACTCGTCGGGACTTCGGCGATATCGATTTTTCCGGATTATAGATCATCAGTTTAAATCTGGTAAGATGGCATGCAGAAATTACAAAATTAAAAATATGAAACCGTAATTTATGAAATAAAGAACAATTATGATCTAAAAGGTATCAAAATTTACAAAAAGAAAAAGAATATTTATTTGTTTACTTTATTAAACATTTCTTTCAATGTAAGTTGTTTAAGTTGCTTTGTTTCATGTGATAATACTTTCTCTTTAATTCTATTAAACAGACATAATTTCTTGTTTAGTTACAAAGTTCCGCTGTTCAAGTCCTATAATTGCTGTGTCGAGAATACCGACTAATTTGTCAATTGAAATTTTTTCGTTTTCAATAACCTCTGTGTCTTTCTTCACTATCGGAAGCGAATTATAATGACGAGGAACTTGTTTTAAATCATATCAAAGACGGAGTACATCGAGATGAAATACTACATTTGGTAAGGAATTATAAGCCAAATAAAATGAAAACATATGCCCTGAAGATAAGGATAGTGCTGACAGATCAACTTCCAATTCATTGCGCGCCGCTGCGGCGTTCCCCCCCCCACCCTGCTGAGCAGCGTGAAATTGATAAACAGATTTCGCATTTCGAAACATACTTTCGCTTTAGATACTTTACATATTAACAAATATATATCGGAAATTCTATTTGATATAATCGAAAGTTTACTTTTATAAAATTGCTCAAACAGTCTGCAAAAAATAATAAGCAGATCGAATTTGAAAATTAAGGAACAACGCAATCTGCAACATTAACTGAATTAGATAATTTTAGCTTAGCTTGTACCGTCCGTTATACATTAAACGAGCATGCGTAAATGTTTTATATGCGCACACGCACATTCGCAGCCGTAAAGGTCTTACGCGCACATGTAAACGCCTATGCGCATTCGTCAACGCGACGCATGCGCAGAAAGTTTGTAGCTTTGAGGTCCGGATTATGGGTGTCCGAATTAACGACTTTTGACAGTATCTTCAAATTTGCAGTTATATTTTTCACAAGATGATGGTGAGTTTTAATCAAAGTTCAATCTGGGCTTTTAAGCATTCATTTAAAAAATAAGAATTACAGTGTAGTTAGATAGTTTTTTTTTTTTTTTTTTAAAGGGAAAGATTTAGTATACCTAGTCAAAAGTATGATAAATACAGTACACAATAAAAAAGCAGAGGTTTTTAGTATACTTCATCTTAAGTATATTGAAAACTTTCACTTTTTTATTGTGTACTGTTTTTAATTGTAAGTTTTATATTTGAATTCATATTGAATCTTGACTTTAAAAAGGACATGGAGAAACCATTGCATTTTCTTGTAGTATTGGGTGTATGCAAAATTTATATAAAATGTGAATTTCAAATGGAGACTTGATAATATGAAATAAATCGGTGTTTCATATATTTATTAGAAGCATATTTTGATTGCATTGACAAACTTAAATATAATACAGTATTGCATAAAAAAGTGTTCTGAGAGTTTTTCTTTTGTGTCTTGTATCTTTACGTTGTGTAAAAACACAGTAGTACTTCCTGTAAGGGACACCTCTATTGAAATGACGATTCTGCTGATACCAGGCCTCCTTGAATACGGACCTTAATGTGTATTTGCCTCTTATTAAGGGAACTAAAAAAAAAAAAAAAAACTACTCTTATATACTCCCTCGGTTGGCGAGAAACTCCACTGCACCATATTACTATCTAAATTTGTCTACTTTTCAAAGCCTAAAATGTCTGCAAAAACCACGTTTTTAACATACAATTTACACCAAAAATTCGAAACCAAAACAAAAAAATTAGATAGCAAAATCATAAAGTTATTGACCTGTGATTCCAACCACTTTTTGGTTATTGCTAAACTAATTGCTAAAATTTCATTTGCCTGAAAGATACAGGAAGAGAGGCAAAAAAAGTTTAATTGTGAAAAGCTGAAAAATGAGGCAATTGAATGAAATTTCCACTCGGGGAGAACTAAGATCTAAAAACGTGGCCAAACTGGAAACCGTGGAAAATAACTAACTATTTTAGATTTTTAATTGTATAATTTCTGCATATCGTCATACTAGATTTAAAATCTAAATCGCTGAAAAATCACTGAAGTCCCAGTGAATCTGGATCTCAGATTTATACTGTATTTGTATTAATTATTAAGGACGAAATAATATACGTGATCAATATCACCATCAGTTACAGCTATCAGTGGCAGTAAACAACTTAATTTTACTGAAAATACAGTTGGGCTTTTTCTCCATACTTGCTATATACAGGGTGCATCAGTACAGCAGTGACAAACTTTCAGGAGAGATGGAGTACATCTAGACAATGAGAAATCACATAGCAATGGATGGTCAGAAATGCTTTCTGGGCACGGTAGTGATGACCCAAAAATCAAGAAAGAAAGGACATGAATGGGGGTGAGAAAACATGTTTATTACTCGGAATACAGCAAAAGGAAAGAAAAACAACAAAGAGACAATGATCGTCATCAAAGAAGGTGTTCAAACTTATGATCTGGGCCATGATACAACTGTGCGTCATGCATCTTCCATGCGATCTATTCATGATGTAAATCTACCATGAGGCCTGCATCATGGTCCTGGGTCGTAATTTCAAACACCTTTAATGACAATCATTGTTTGTTTTTGTTCTTATTTGTTGGTTTCTGCTGTACTAAACATAATAAAACACTTTTTATCTCACTGTTTGTGTCCTTCCTTTTTTTTGTGTTTTGTGTCGTCACGACCGCACCAGGAAAGCTTTGCCAGCCATGCATTATTATGTGATTTCCCATCGTATAGGTGTACTCTGTCTCTCCTGAAAGTTTTGTCACTACTGTACTGATACACCTTTTATAATTGGCGATTAAGCATATATACATTTTTGAAGAAGTTCTAAACTTTTCAAGCACTTGATCTACAAAATGGTATTTTAATTTGGACTTTGTAATAGCCAATGACTTAATTGAAAATTTGATCTAAAATAATCCAAAAGGGATTTTGGCTGAGAATTTTTTTAAAGTGACTGTAAATTTAAAATAAATTTAAATTTTGAAGGTAGTTTTATCAAGTGTGTGTGTAGATATCTTGCTTATGTATAATATTACGTATAGTTTTTGAACATTTTAGGTTTTGATAATGAGTAGGTAAAGTAATATGCTTTACATTTTTCTTAGTATTAAAAAATATTAATGATATGTTTAGTATACCAATATATGATGTAATATGATTTAGATATGACCAATACATGATGTAACATGACTTAAATATATGACATATCAATATATGATAATATATAGCATGTCATCCTACCTATATATGTGCAGAGCTGCCAGCCTACCCGGTAAAATTAGGAATTTCCTGATTTTTCAATAAAAATTTGTCTCCTGGTAAACTTGAATATCTTTTAAGTTTCTCCTGGTTAACTACCATATCACCTGATTTTTAGCTTATCTGAATTTAGGTCATATCTCTCAAATACAACTCTAGAACAGTTGTTGATTACAAAGTGTATGATGAAAAGGAAATACAGCTGAGAAAATTTTGATGTCAATATCTTATAAGGGTGTACTTTTGTGCTATACCAAC